CGGGGATGGGAGGTGGGCAGGATATAGGACAAGGCAGCGCATGTGAGAGTGAGTGAGAAAGTGCTGAAAGCAACTTTAGAATTATAAGCTCCACGTCGCGATCAAAGTAGCTGGTTAGAGTTTGTTAACGGAGCTCAAGACAAATCGGATTCAGAGAGATGGGGGGGTCAGTAATTTCCGGGGTTGCTTACCGGCGGCCAAAGAACTTGAAGATGCACTCCACGTCGCGCTCAAAGTACCTGGTGGGTGTGCGTGACGGGGCCGCAGAGAGAAGGTGGCATGACTAGTGATGTAATGTTGCAGAGAGTCTTATGTAGACGAAGGGGGAAATGAAGGAATGTAGTGGAATCAAATGCAGCAGGCACAGACGTGCATGTAGACAATCAGAAGGAAATTGATATGCGCGTGAGGGGTTGAGTGCATGACCGCATGTGTATGGGGATGGGAGGGTGAGCGCGTTACATCTTGGCGTTACGGTGGGAGATGGAGACCATCTGAGGGAAGTCGATCATTGTTATCCTCTCCTCCTCATCCACCTGATGCCATGCCATGCCATGCCATGCCATGCCATGCCATGCCGTGTCAAGCAAAGCACAAATATGGATGTGCATAAATTGCAACAGGATTGACCAATGGGGTTCAGATGTGTGACTGCAAATGTCAATGAACCGCCAGTTCTCTGTTAATACTTGTTAAAATCACTTGAAAGGCGCTATTGAAATCACCACTAGAAGGTTCAACTTGTTTAAGACACTCGCTGAGAAGCTGAGATGCTCAGACACTCACAAGCAGGTTGAACTCGTTAAAGTCACAGTGGATGAGCCCCACCGCCGCCAGGCGGATGATGAGGGAGAGCACCTGGTCGAACACCACCTGCGGCCGCTGCAGCTCGCGCACCTGCACTCTGTGGGGTGGGGGGATAGGGGGTTGGGGGGAGGGGGGGGGGGGAATGCGAGGAGGAGGAGGTGGAGGCGGATGATGAGGGAGAGCACCTGATCAAACACCACCTGTGGCCGCTGCCTTTTGAGTCGACTCAAAAGTCATCTCGGATGATGAGGGAGAGAACCTGGTCAAACACCACCTGTGGCCGCTGCAGTTCCCGCACCTGCACCCTGGGGTGGTGGAAGGGGAGGGGGGAGAGGGGGTCGGGGTGTGATGAAGAGGAGGTGGAGGCAAACGATGAGGAGGCAAACACCAGCTGTACACTGGATGGAGGCTGGGGGGAAAGACAGGAGGGAGGGGGTTGGGGTGCCGAAGGATGAGCGAATGGGGTGAGTGGAGGGCGGTTTGAGAACGACAGGCAGAGAAAGACACTTGGCCAAGGAAGACGATTTGAGCAGGAGGAAGCAAGAGGTCGATTGTACACGCAATGCATGTAAGAAACGCTTTTAAAGGAACCTCGAGCATGGAAACGTGTGCGGGATGCTGTGTCGTGATGAGGGGAATGATTACAGAGGAAAGGCCATCACAAGAGTCATGATGGCACAATGATTACAGTGGAAAGGCCTTGACGAGGGTCATGATGACGCAGTGGCGGTTGCAGTCCACTGCACCCGGCACGGGGAAACCCCTCTCCCCCAACGCCTGCCCGCACAGCACAGCACACGAGCAGCAGGGCAGAGCACACATCACAGGGCACGCAGAATGGGTGGACCGTGGAGGTGGGGTGAGTGAATGTTACAGCACTACATGACATGGTCAACGGCACATCACTGCAAGCAATCTCACAGCCACATGCCCATTAAGAGGCGCGGCAGAGCACACCTTGAGAAAGGCGAACTCCTTGAGAGCAGCGAGGCGAGAGAGGTAGAGCCAGTTGTGCGCGCGGCGGTGGCGCAGGTAGTCGCGCTTGGCCTTGACGTTGCGGAACGACGTGCGCCCCAAGCGGTGCAGCTTCATCACCAGTACCTCGCTCTCCGGCCCCTCCACCTCGTATATGTCTGCGGAGGGAAGAGGGGAGGACAGGGAGGGGAGCAGGGGGGGGACGGAGGGAGGGGAAGTCTGAGTTGACTAAACAATTACCCAGACGGTGCAGCTTCATCACCAGCACCTCTTCCTCCGCCCCCTCCACCTCGTATATGTCTGAGGAGGGAAGAGCGGAGGGGTGAGAAGGGAGGAAAGTTTGAGTTGACTAAAACGTCACCCAGAAGGTGCAGCTTCATCACCATCACGCCCTCCACCTCCTCTCCACCTTCTGGTTGGCGCCTGCCCCGGAAGGAGGAGGGGGGGAGAGAAGGATGAAGGGCCGGAGGGAGGGAATTCACCTACCCACCCACTCACCGGACTCCTGCCACTCCTCAATCATGCTCACGCACCGGACCCCTTGCCTCCCCCCCACCTCCATTTACCAGACTCCTTGCCTCCCCACCGTTCCTCACCGTTCCCCACCTCCACTTACCGGACTCCTTGCCGACGCCGATCTGCGGCCCCACACCAGCAACGGTGCCGCGGTTGACGAGTGCCTTGATGGCCAAAAAGTCGTACCCCAGATTCGTCAGCCGGTACCCGTCGTCTGCCCCGGGGGGGAAAAGTGGGGGCAGGAGGAGTGGGGTAGACAAGTGAGGGTCGTTGGGTTGACGAGTGCCTTGATGGCCAAAAAGTCGTACCCCAGATTCGTCAGCCGGTTCCCGTCGTCTGGCCGGGAGGAGTGGGGAATGGATTGGGAGGCGGAGAGAAGAGGAATCAGGAGTGAATTGGGTGAGAAAAGCGAAGAGGAGGGAGCAAGCAGGGGGCGAGGAGATGAGGCAGACAGGGCAGGCGGGTGAGACATACACTTGGTGGAGTCGTGGTGCAGGAGCTTGTGCCTCAGCAGCTTTGAGGGGAGGGAGGAGAGAGGAGAGGAGCGAGCGGATGAAGAGGAGAGAGCAAGCAGGGCGCGAGGACGGCAGGCGGGCGGGTGACACATACACTTGGTGGAGTCGTGGTGCACGAGCTTGTGCCTCAGCAGCGTGCTTAGCGCCTTGTACGCTCCGCCCCGCCTGGCAGGGACGCGGGACAACGGGAACGGGGTGAGGGAGAGGAGGGGCAGAGGGGACGGCGGAGCGGCAGTGAGCGAGGCGAGACAGGTGCGGGAGGACGGAGGTTTTGGTTTTGGCAGGGTTTCGGGGCAGAGGCGAGGGCATGGCGAATGGGGGGCTTGAACGAGGTTGAAAGAAGAAAAAGAGTCAATTGTAAAAAAGGGTCGAGCGCGGATTGGGATATAAGGGGAAGTGGGGGAGACCGGGTTCAAGAGCGGTTCAGGGTTTAATGATTGGTCAGAAGGTAAGGTCGCAAACGCATTCCGGGATTAGTGGTGGGAAGGAGTAAGGGGAGGTGTCCGGGGAGGCGGCTCACTTGAGGCTGGCGATTCGCTCGACGAGCTCCGACGGGACGATCTCGTGCTGCCACGTGTGCATGCAGGGCAGGGCAGGGCATGGGATGTGGGGAGGGGAGGCAGCGGGGAGAGACGGGGATTGGCATGAGGCAGTGCGAGCGAACGCAGATTGAACAATGGTGGAAGGGATGAGCTGGATTTGTGGAGCGAGAGATAAGGGGGGAAAGGGTGTGGAGAGATTGAGTAGTGGGTTTTAGTGGGAGGGGTTGGGGAAGAGGGGGGAGTGGATGCGGGGGGTGGCAGAGAATGAAAGGATAAGTGGCGGAGGATCTGGCTTGGACGGCCTAAAATGGGGTCTGCAGCGATGACGGTGTTCGCTTCTCCGTCTACCAGGCCGTCTATCCATACTGCCGGCCGTCCTGCCGTCTATCATGGAGGTTGACGAGGTGCTGCGCGATGAGGGCGCAAGGGGCGTTTGGTTACAGACTGTGGCACCTGTTGGACACAAGAACCGTTACGTTTTAGGCTCCGGGTGCTGCCTAAACACGAAAAAGCCACCTACAGATCCGAATCGGCTTCGACTCGCCAGACTCGAACCGCGCTGGTAAACGGATTCCGTCGAATCAACACTGCTGTCTGTCTAATCTCAAAAGCCTCAAAAGTCGTGTGCGCGGCTAGCGTTAGGGCGGGCGGACGTACGTTGCGCATGCCCATTTCGACGGCGGTGAGCACGCGAAACTCGTCTTTGGACAGGTACCGCAGCGCGTTCACGTCGAACTTCATCGCGCCGCGCTGCTGCTCGCCGGCACCGCGGCTTGTAGCGCGCGTGCTTGCTGGGTGTAAGCGCCCTAGAAAGAGCAGTGCGTTTCGCAGCAGTGCACTGATTTACCTAGCAAGAACGGGAATGCAGTGTTTTTCCAACATCAGGGACAGCACCCCAATTACCCACAAACTAGGGTGTGGGAAAAGTCGAAGGAGAATGCATCGGTTTTGGGCTCTGGTGTGTGGTGAAGAGCTGAACAAGGGAATTTTGATCCTAGCTTCTATCCAGCCACTTTTACCGAATCCTTCTCTCTCAACCTAACCCAACCCCTCCAATTTCTGTACCCACTCTGCTGCAACATTGATTCATGATCGCACAGGCGGACTGAATTGAGAGTTGTTGAATTGAGCGTTGTTGCTACGACACTGGTCTCCTAAACGCTTGGCTATGGATATTTCTAGCATATGATAAGGGCTCAGCCGAGCTTTGAGCGTATGGACGCTAGCGCCACATACGCGCAAGGGGGGGCGCGGCTGAATACTCGCACACAGTAATTCGTGTTCCTGGAAAGAGATGTTCCTGGCGAGGCGAGTACTTGCCTCGCCGCGAGTGTCTTTTTACTCGCGGCGAGTGAATAGATACTCACCTTTCTGGACGAGTCACGAGTCGGCCTATGGCGAGAATTACGCACACCGAGAAATACTCGCCTCGCGTCGTTACTCGAGCGAGTCGGGCAAAAACGAGGCGAGTATTACTACTCCCCTCGCTGTTTCCTCACGCGCACCGGAGGAGTATGAGGATCCCAGCAATGAGCGGCGGCAGGATGGCGCCGCGCAGCCGGGAATCCCCCAGTCCAGCAGCGAGAGGCAGCAGCAGCAGGAGGGGTTCCCCCAGTCCACTGGCAGCAGCGAGCGCGCATCGCCAATGGTGGAGCACATTCGGTCCATGATCCGCTTTCGCGGCGGGCCGATCAGCGTGGCCGACTACATGGAGCAGGCGAGTTGCGCTTTTGATAAAAGCTTTTGACACGACTCAAGACTTTTAGAGACGTCTCAAGACTTTTAAAGACGTCTCAAGACTTTTAAAGACGTCTCAAGAATTTTAGAGACGTCTCAAGGCCCTGTCAGCATGACCGACTACATGGAGCAGGCGAGTAGCGTTGCGTGCCGCGACGCTGGGGTGGTATGTGATGTGATGCGCCTCAAAAGTGTGGATCCCGCCCTCCCTCCCTCTCCCCCCCCTCCCCCGCACACAATCCCAGGTGCTGACGAGCAGCAGCGGGGGCGGGTACTACATGCTTACAGGCGCTACATTCAACCCCGCTCCTACTCTCCCATGCAGGTGCTGACGAGCAGCAGTGCGGGCGGGTATTACATGCACAGGGACGTGTTCGGCCGGGAGGGCGACTTCATCACGTCGCCTGAAATCAGCCAGATGTTCGGCGAGGTGCGCATGTGATGTGGTGGGTGCATGAGTGCGTGGTGCATGGTGCATGGTGCATGGTGCATGAGTGCATGGTGCATGAGTGCATGAGTGCATGAGTGCATGGTGCATGGTGCATGGTGCATGGTGCATGAGTGCATGCATGGTGCATGATGAGTGGGTGGGTGCATGGGTGGTGCATAGGCGACTGCATGAATGCATGGGTGCATAGATGCATGGGCACATTGGATGCTTTGGGTGCATGGGTGCTTGGGTACATGTGCTTGCTCACAATTCTCATGAACCGTGCCTGTAGACTGCCCTCTGCTCACTGTGTGCACGCGTCCCTGTCCTGTCCTGTCCTGTCCTGTCCTGTCCTGTCCTGTCCTGTCCTGTCCTGTCCTGTCCTGTCCTGTCCTGTCCTGTCCTGTCCTGTCCTGTCCTGTCCTGTCCTGTCCTGTCCTGTCCTGTCCTGTCCTGTCCTGTCCTGTCCTGTCCTGTCCTGTCCTGTCCTGTCCTGTCCTGTCCTGTCCTGTCCTGTCCTGTCCTGTCCTGTCCTGTCCTGTCCTGTCCTGTCCTGTCCTGTCCTGTCCTGTCCTGTCCTGTCCTGTCCCTGCACTCTCCCTGCCCCTCTCCCTGCCCCTCTTCCTGCTCCCCCGCCTGCCTGCGCCTCCCGCGCATCAGATGGTGGCGGTGTGGGCCATGATGGCATGGCAGCAGCTGGGAGCGCCCCCGCGAGTGCGACTGGTGGAGCTGGGGCCGGGCAGAGGCACCCTCATGGCCGACCTGCTGCGTGTGAGTCTTGTTGGTTGCTAACTTGGTGGTGGTAGTGGTGTTACATGGTGCAGTGCGGTTGAGTTTTGTGTTGGCCCCCCTCGAGTGCGACTGGTGGAGCTGGGGCTGGGCAGGGGCACGCTCATGGCCGACCTGCTGCACATGAGTCTTGTTTAAAGGTACCTATGTAATAGTGGTGTTACACGGTGCAATGCGGTTGAGTTTTGAGTGGACTCAAGCGCCCCCTCGAGTGCGCCTAATGGAGCTGAGCCCAGGCAGGCAGAGGCCTCTCATGGCCGACCTGCTGCGCGTGAGTGGTGTGGTCGTGGTGGTACGAGGTGCAGTGCGGTTGAGTTCTGAGTCGACCCCTCTACAGTGCACTTAGTGGAGCTGAGCCCAGGCAGGCAAAGGCCTCTCATGGCCCACCTGCTGCGCGTGAGTCTGCTTTTATGCTGCCTTGCTGGTAATGGTTGTGTCACAAGGTGCAGTGCGGTTGGGAGAGGCGTCCACATCAGTGTAAGGATCGTTGTCAGGTGTACAGGAAACTGTACAAGCCGTTGGTTCCCTTTCACGCTTCACTGTTGCTTACCCTCTCCCGCCCCGTGCGTGCCCGTGCCTCTCCCAACTTGCCTTTTTCGCCCCAAACCCCCCTGTTCCCTGCTGAATTCACAGCCTCCATTGCAGTAGAGTACGTGCAGGTGCTCCTGGTGTTGGGCCACCAGTTCTGTACTCCCCGCTGCCTCTTTACTGCCCTTGCGGCCTTGCCCTCCTCCTCTGTTCGTCCGCCAAATGTTTGCCCCCTTCAGCAGGGCAGTGGAGGTGCATCTGGTGGAGGTGTGTCTACGGCTCCAATTTGGTCCCCTATCATCCCTTATTTCCCCCCTCCGCGCTCCTGATCCCCCTCCCCCAGTCGTCCGCCAAGTTCACGCCCTTCAGAGCAGCGGTGGAGGTGAATCTGGTGGAGGTGAGCCTGTTGCTCCAGCTCATCACCCCACCTCCCCTGCACTCTCCCCTTCCCCCCCTCGCCTGCCCCTCAGTCGTCCGCCAAGTTCACGTCGTTCAGCGGGGCGGTGGAGGTACATCTGGTGGAGGTGAGCCCGGCTCTCAGGCGCCTGCAGTGGGCCGCCCTCAAATGCCGCCCTGCAGACGCAAAAGAGGGGAGGGCGGATGATGGGGGGGCGCAGAGGGGGAGGGTAGATGGTGGGGGAGCGGAGGAGAGGAAGGCAAGCAGTAGCGGAGGGGCATCAGCAGGTGAAGCAGCAGTTGCAGCAGTAGGCGAGCTTGCGCCCCAAGGCTCACCATCTGGAGCGGCACCATCGCTACCACAATCACCCTCCTCCTCATCATCGTCCTCCTCCTCCTCCTCCTCCTCCTCCTCCTCCTCCTCCTCCTCCTCCTCCTCCTCCTCCTCCTCCTCCTCCTCCTCCTCCTCCTCCTCCTCCTCCTCCTCATCACCATCGTCATTACCATCATCACCATCACCACGATCACCACCATCACCATCACCATCAACAGAATCAGCGGCAGCAGAGGAGGCATTCCCAGGGAAGGGAGTGTCGGGGCTGAGTGGCGCCGCAGTCACGTGGCACTCTGCTCTGGAGGACGTACCTGAGGGAGGTGAGATGTGCGTGTTGCAATCGACTTGATTAGATACTGCCATGGCGCCTTCCGTCCTTCCATCCCCCACGCATGCACAGAAGAAAAAGAAGAAGAAGAAGAAAAAAAAAACCCAAACAAACAAACATACAAATCCAAACAAACAAACATACAAACATAATAAACAAGCAAAAAACTTCCGTTTTTCCTTGCTTCTCCGTTGCTTATCCTTGACTGCTTTGCTTCACCCTACTCTCTTCCCCCCCCTCTCAGTGCCCACCATCCTCATCGCACATGAGTTCTTTGACGCCCTGCCCGTGCACCAGTTCCAAGTGAGCCGCCACTCCAATGCTCACTGCATACATACACGCCTTCACTGCATACCAGTCCATCAGTCCCAAGGGAGCGTGCAACTGTAGTGAATGCTTGTGAGATTGAGTTGCGGGCGCCTGTGAGTTGATGCACGATGTGTGTCGTGGGCGCCTGTGAGTTGATGCACGATGTGTGTCGTGGGCGCCTGTGAGTTGATGCACGATGTGTGTCGTGGGCGCCTGTGAGTTGATGCACGATGTGTGTCGTGGGCGCCAGTGCCCTTTACCTCCTTGATGCCACGCACCTGTGAGCTTGTGCTTGCAAGTCGTGAATCGCGAGTGAGCCTGTGTGGTCAGCAGGCATTATCAGATGGATATTCCGCGGTCACAGATAAAGGTTCTCTTCCTTTTTCATGCTATCTCTTGCTGTCATAACCAAGCATGGTCTTCTGTGCCATGATACGGCATGCTATGGAATTGGCTGGACATTGTATTGCATGTTATTGCGCTGGCTGGACATGGCATTGCATGTTATTGCGCTGGCTGGACACGGCATTGCATGTAATCACGCTGGCTGGACACGGCATTGCATGTAATCACGCTGGCTGGACACGGCATTGTATGTAATCACGCTGGCTTGACATTGCATGGCATGGCAGAAAACGGAGAGAGGGTGGTGTGAGAAACTGGTTGATGTGGCAGAACCGGACAAAGAAGGCCATCCATCTGAAGCCCATTCCAACCTGAGCCATTCACAAAAGGACACCAGTGGCCATCCATCTGCCGACTACCCTTTCCGTTTCATCCTTTCCCCGGGGCCGACTGCGGCAAGCACTCTTTGTCTTCTTCCTCGCATGCATTGGGCCCCACTGGAGGAGCGGGCGGCAGCCGCCCACGTGGAAGTTTGTCCTATAGCAGTGAAGATTGCGCTGCAGATCACGGAGAGGGTGGCGAGAGACGGTGGGGCGGCGCTGATAGTGGATTACGGGGAGGACAGATTGATATCGGACAGCCTTCAGGTGACCTTTGAATCCCCTCTTATCACTGCCTCATCTTTCTCGTTCTCCTCTTCTTCCCTCACTCACTCTCTCTCCCCTCAGGCCATGAATTTGCACTTTCTCACTCGCCCTCACTCTGACTCTCTCGTTCCTCTCCCTCCCTCCCTCACTCACGCACCGTCTCCCGTTTCTCTCCCTCAGGCCATACGCAAGCATGAGTTTGTGAACGTGCTGGATGCGCCCGGCACAGCTGATCTGAGTGCCTATGTGGACTTTGCCGCCCTCCGCCAAGCCGTCACTGACTCCAAGTGTGAGTGCTTCTCCGCCTCCAGAACTTCTGATTCAACATTGGAACTTTCCATTGACAAAGGGGATTTCTAGTTTACTTTAACAAATTCTTATTAACCACCTCATGATGGGATATGTACAATGGGAATTTTTATTATCACTTCTTCACATTAAGATCTTCACAATGGGGTCTTCACATTGGGATCTTCACATTGGGATCTTCACATTGGGATCTTCACATTGGGATCTTCACATTGGGATCTTCACATTGAGATCTTCACATTGAGATCTTCACATTGGGATCTTCACATTGGGATCTTCACATTGGGATCTTCACATTGGGATCTTCACATTGGGATCTTCACATTGGGATCTTCACATTGGGATCTTCACATTGGGATCTTCACATTGGAATCTTCACATTGGGATCTTCACATTGCGATCTTCACATTGGGATCTCCACATTGGGATCTTCACATTGGGATCTTCACATTGGGATCTTCACATTGGGATCTTCACATTGGGATCTTCACATTGGGATCTTCACATTGCGATCTTCACATTGCGATCTTCACATTGGGATCTTCACATTGGGATCTTCACATTGGGATCTTCACATTGGGATCTTCACATTGGGATCTTCACATTGGGATCTTCACATTGGGATCTTCACATTGGGATCTTCACATTGGGATCTTCACATTGGGATCTTCACATTGGGATCTTCACATTGGGATCTTCACATTGAGATCTTCACATTGGGATCTTCACATTGGAATCTTCACACTGGAATCTTCACATTGGGATCTTCGCAATGAGAACTCCACACCTTCTTCTCTCATGCCCCTGGTTGAACCTTCTCCTCTCATGTCCCGACGTTGCCCCTTCTCATATTCCTGCTGAACTTTCACTCTCCTTCCAGTCGCACACCAATGATCCGCGTGCATGCCTGCTGCTGCCACGTCTGCTAGTGCTCACCTGCTGGCAGTGACACAGCCTTGCTGCGGCTGCCCATTTCTCCCCCTCTCCCCTTGCCCAATCTTACCTGTGTCCCCTTCACCTCCCCACTCAACCCCTCTCCTTCACAGTGCCCTCTCCAAATTATGTCCCCATCACTCAGTCACATGTGTTAAGCCTGTTTGAGGAATCCGTTCATGTTTTCTTTCAAAAGAGAAATTTTGAATCTTCTCCTCTCTCCCCTTTCGTGTCATCTCTCTCCTTCGCATTCCTCACAGTGCCAGCTCGAGCCTACGGCCCCATCACCCAATCACAACTACTGGGCCGGCTGGGCATCAACTTTCGAGTGGAGGCACTGCTGCGAGTGGCATCAGACAAGCAGGCGGAGGCTCTCAGGGACGGGTACTGGCGCCTCGTGGGGGACGGGGAACCCCCGTGGCTCGATGAGGACGATGAGAGCGAGGGCGTGGGGGGGGGGAGAGTGGAGAGGGAGGGGGAGATGGGAGTGCGTGCGGCTGATGATGGGGCTTGTGAGGGTGAGAGTGATTCTTCTGGGGAAGATGGTGGTGGTAGCAGTGGCAAGAGGTCGTTTGTGGGCATGGGATCGAGGTACAAGGCTCTTGTGATTGCGAGTGAGAAGCTAGGCGTGCCGGTTGGATTCGAATGATCTCGTGTTCTGCCTTGTACAGTCACGAAGCCTGTATATTGCACAAACCGCCCACTCACCCCTTGCAGACATTTCTGTGGTCGTAGGGACTCTGCACTGAAAGTGAGAGAACCTAGTGGGGTGGGGTTGCTTTTCGGCAAGCTGAGACTGAAATCGCATGCGGCTGTTGATGATGATGTGATGTGACTTTGCGCCAGGCTGGCTCAGTTGCGTTGCCTGCTTCTGTGTACTGCATGCAGATGCTGCTTTGGTGATTTTTACTCTCATGGTCGGATCGGAGCCGTGTTGCTGTGTGCTGAGAATACGGTACCGTATATGGAACTTGGCTTTCATACATGTGGACAAAACCAACATGGAGGCGTGCTCCAGTCAGCCATAGGTGGGATACCATGTCAAGTTCTGAAGCACACAGTAAAGAATCCTCAGGACACCAATCTCATGAACCACCTACACCACACTGGAGAAACCAGTGAAATGGACATGAGCAGCAAGCACACCATCAAGCAGCATCAGCTCAACACCTCATCACATCCGCTAGGTCTGATCTGATCTGACCCCCAGGCTCTAGGAGCACTAAGTACGCTACAGCAGTAACTAATCTAGGAGAAGACGACCACCTTCTCATCGGCGCCGTAACGCTGCCAGTTGCCTCCGAACGACCAGTTCTCATACCCGCCATTGCCAAGATTCTCCACGGAGAACGGGCCCTGCTTGTAATACACGGTGAACTCGGAGTTATCCCAGAAGTGCCACACCTCCACCTGCGCGGACGCCGGGTCGCCCTGCACGGAGTGGGCGCTCTGAATGACCATCACGTTGTACCCCGCGTTCATGAATATCTCCACGATCTTCGTCGTCACCTCGTCGTCCTCTGGACCGTCGATCGTGCCCAGGCTGCCGGCAATGATCTGATCCACGGTCACGCCGTCCCAGCTGAAGAGCTTTCGGCGCTCCACCCTGTGCGGGGACACGGCGGAATCCGTGCGGGCGAGTGCACGGCGGGCGACGCCGCGCGTGGCGGAGGGGGATGCGTGAAGGACGGGCCGCGCGGCGCTGGCGCTGGTGGCGGCGAGGAGCAGCAGGAAGGCGAGAGGAAGGGGAAGCAGCCTGCGGGCTGCGTGGAGCTGCGCGTTGATACTAGACGCCATGGGATCTAGTTCAATGCTCAGATCTCAGTGATAGCCTTGGATGAAAAGTAGCAGCGATAAAAAACAGTGTTAGCACGCCAATAAGATCGTTCAAGAGCGAAGCACAGTCGAGAAATGAAGCTGCAAGTAGCTCCTTCGTGATCGGTATGCGCGATCGAACGGGGAATGGGGGAAGCGAATACGGAAGCTGTGATGATTGTGGTGAGGCTGAACGTCTATTTTATAGGCCTTTGCACTTGCCGAGTCCGAAACATGGAAGGTCGGACTTCCAGTCGCACTTTGACAAGAGTGCGGTTTGCGACTTGCTGAAGCCGCCATGGCCAATCCCTGCAAATCTCAATCGCGAGGCAGTGTAGAGTCTCTGGCGTGAGAACTACGCTCGGACGTGACTGATACGCGACGATGCAAAGGTGTTTCCTCAGTGCGACAGGCTGCGTTAGGGGCAATACGTAGGGTAGGGGTAGCTATGGGAACTGGAGGGAGTGAACGGGCGGAAGTGAACTGGAGGGAGTGAGACGGGTGCGGTGTGAACAGGCGTGTTGTGGGGTGGAAGGAAGTGGGCTGGTGCTGGTGGGAAGGTCACGTGATACAGGCGAGATCAGCTCATGCAAGCCCTTCAGAATGTACATACTGCTAAAAGGGCGTACAATCCAAATTCCTTACAATCTGGATGAACACTTGTGTACGCGATATGGAGCTCACTTGTGAAGAAGAATCGATTCGTTTTTTAATTTACACCTCACCGCTTTGGAACGCAACACACCGAACAAACCTGTGCTTCAAAAGTTCCAAACAGGGCTGTCGCTACCAGGGCGTTTGCCCTGCTGGACCTTGAATTCAAGGGCTGGGTTGCCCTTGAAAACTGAAATTGATGGGCTGAAACTGAAACTGAAAACTGAAAACTATTGCCCTGATTCCTTACAGAGCTGATTTCGGTCTTAGGCCTGGTGTGTCGGGGTATAATTCAGGCATCCCCTGGATCAAAATCTTTTGAGTTCTCCCTCCCATATCCTCCACTCCCTCTCCCCCCCCTTTCTATCGTGGTTGCATCCAACCTGGAAAACTTGGAGTTGCGTGGTTGAGCAAAAAAATCACTCAGCCTTGCTGTAGTGCTTGCCGAGTGTTCTGTAAGCTTCGTAGTTAATTTGAGGCTGTAGATTTTTTCGTGCCAAAACTGATTCAAGGGAGGAAAACTTTCCAGCCCTGAAGCTTAAAGGGCCGAGATTTGCCGCGAACCTGCTAAATACAGGGTTGTACATGCCGGGCCCCCTGATTTGTCCGGGGGGCCCAAAACGAATCGACAGCCCTGGTTCCAAAGCATCGTCATCAAACCTTGGTCGGAGAAACAGTTCAACCTCGTTCCCATCATCTCCATACTCACCACAGTCAATCACTCACCACCACTCCCAACCCACCATCCACCATCATTTGCCTCACCACTACCACCCGCTTGCGTCAATATTGCCTGGGCTTGGTGTTTCTCAAATTTGTTCAAGCTCCCTCCCCCTTGTCCTACTCCCTTGTCTGCATTCCAAAGCCCATCATCGCGGCATCACATACCTGCAAACTCTGCTCTCTCCGCGACCGACCAAGGATGAGAACTCGCGACGAGGGACGCAAGGACCTTTGTCGGTACGTCTGCTCGAATGGACGGCGGCGGACTTGACGGTGACGGACTTCATCGCGACACGTATGACGGAACCAACCGGCAGCTAGGCCGTTCCGCACCTATGCATCGCTGATTAGCCGCCGCCAATTCGACGTTGAAGAGACTATGCAGAGATTGACTCTCCCGAGACGGTCCAGATTGGTCCGAATGAGCCGCCCGACGAGAGCAGACTGACCCAATTGGCCATCGATCGGATCCCGAGTCCCGACACGAGAGCGAATCGAGATCTCGACTTGGAATGGATACGAGGTCCGAACTTTCGTGGTCTGTTGCTGTACCATCGCTCTGTGCATCCATCTGTATGGTGGGGTTGGCTGACGACACTTTACTGCGCCCTACCTGTCGCGTAGGCACCGGGACCTACAGTAGTACTGTACAGAAGCACCGCGCTGTAGGCATGTGGCGACAAGCCATGGGCGGTATCACGGCCAGGAAGCGCTCCTTCCCTCGCTGCTCACAGCCGCTCGGAAACCCCCGTCGTTTAGCGTTCCCGTGGCACGGTGCTACGTGGCTCTGTGCGTGGCGTTCGTACGCCGCCGAGCTGTACGTGGCGATGCGTCCTTGCGCTCTCACTGCCTCTTCGCGCTTCAGTCGGCCCTGGCGTTCAAATCCAACCGTCCTTTGCGGTCTCTTTGCTTCTGATGGCTGGAATTCGTGGAAGCTTCGAGGCACGGGTTCCACAGGTTTTGATCGACGGCCTCGGAGGTATAAAATCGATAAGATCCATCTTCGGACAATCAATCATCGAGTACAGTTCGTCTGGAGTTTATCTCAAAGTCCTATCCAGTCACCTTTAAAGCAGAGAGCATTTTTACGTTCCGTTCTGGTTCCTCTGCATTCCACGAAGAGGTTTACAAATCTCACTCACCAGCGTTAACGAACCGTGAAACCGTTTGCTCGCCATGGCTGCGTCTTCCCGAGCCGCCTTCCACCTTCTCCCGCTCCTCCTCTTCCTCCTCCTCCTCCTCGCGTCATCCGCGTCTGCTGCGCGCCGCCCGCCGCCAAGCAAGGCGCAGATCAAGGCGGAGGTGTCGCGGATGGCGAAGCGGCTGCTGCAGCGCTACCCGCAGTACTCCAAGTTCTCCAAGGACTTCAACAAATACGTCAACCTCGCCAGTCAGTCCTGCTCCCTGCTCCCTGCTTCCTCCTCCCTGCCTCACCCTCCCTCGCTCATCCTCCCTGCATTATTTTCCCTATCTCATTCTCCCTCAATCAACTTCCTCGTTTCCTCTTTTTCCTAGCTTTCATCCTGCACCTCAACCCCTTCCCCTTCCCCTTCCCCTTCCCCTCTCCCTTCCCCTTTCCCTTCCCCTTCCCCTTCCCCTTCCCCTTCCCCTTCGCCTTCGCCTTTCCCATTTCCCTCCACTCCAGTGAACTCCAAGTACAATTTCTCAGCACTTGCTGACGCAACCCTCCTCATTCCCAGCAACACAGCAGCAGAGGCGCTTTCCAAGAGGCTTCCTCTCACAACCAAGAACATTCCCAGGGCCTACAACGTCACAGCCTATCACATCATCGCAAAACGTTTCATCCTGCCCAAGATCAAGGCCATGCGGGCAGGCCAGCCGCTGCCGACTCAGCTGCGACAGGCTCTCTACAAGCTGACCGGCAGGAACGGCAGTGTGGTGATGTTTGGGACGTACCCTAGCACTAGATCCAGGGGGATTGTAACGACCAGGGTGGTGATTCCCGGCATGTACGTTGGGCCGTACTTCATTGCCCATGGTGTGGACCGTGTGTTGCTGCCTCGAGGCACCCGCGTGTGAATGGGGACAGTTGACTTTTGAGTGGACTCGAATCACCTTGATTCAAGGCATGTACGTTGGGCTGTACTTCATTGCCCATGGCGTGGTGCTACCTCGAGGTACCCGCGTGTGAAATACGCCCAATCCACTGTGCTGCTAGCTGTGGGATGGGGAGCTGGGGTGGTGGTGTGGGGGGGAGTTGAAGCCAGATCAGTATTGTAGCTGGCGAAATTGCTTGCGGGATGGAAGCTTGATTAGTAGGAAGCGCTGTTCAGACATTGTGCATACCATAATAATATTGCATTTGGGGAGTACCATAGCATTGGCTTCAGGAGTGAGCTGACTGAGAAGCCTGGTATGGTACTGTGATTGTCAAAACTCCATCAAATGGTCTAGACCTCATGCTGTAACTGAGCTGATCAAGCTCTATTGTGGAGGAGATTACCTATGTCTAAACAAGCACTATCGATCAAACCATGTGGAAATAGATTCATGGATTTAAAAACCTAGTCCAAGGCTAAATCTAGCGAATTAATTCTCCATCTGCACTCTATTCTGTGATGCCACTCCACACTAGGGAATGAAACTAAATAACTGCCTATCAACATCACCATCACACAGTGAGCACGTGGAAGAGAAGGCAGCGGCGGGGCTCAGGGAACTGTTTGTTGCCGTCGCCCTGGTTGAGGTTGATGACGTCACCATTGGGTGCCTTGAGCTGCACGCTGGTGAGAGGCAGGCGCACACAGCACCCCTTGAAGGCCGACGCTGGCAGGTTCTTCTGAAACGTGCGCGCATACACCTTGGCCGGCTGCGGGGAGAAGGGGGGAAGGACAGGGGTGGGGTTTCAGGGAGAGCATGCCAGTATGCTTTCAGGGTACTTTCCTGTTGTGAGTAGAACAGACATCGGATTGTGATTCACATGTGAATTTGGAACCTGTTATTGTCCTGGGATGTCTTTTCAGTCAAAACTATTCGTTTGGCGTGAGGGAAACTGCGAGAAGAAGCAGAGATGGTAAGGGAGAAGGAAGGATGGAGGAAGGAAAGACAGGGGGATGGGGTATCGAGGAGGAGATGTCTGGGGGGTACAGAGAGGTAGGATTCATAAGCCAGCAAGGGTGGTGGGAAGGAAGGAAGATTTAAGGGTGGGGAAGGAGGGGAGGGAAAGGGGTGGGAGGGGTTTTCATAGGAACAAGTGAGGGGGAACGGGGGGGTGGTGGGAAATTGAGGTGGGAGAGAGGAGGGGTGAGGGGTGGAGAACAGAGAGGACTCACCTGGCCAGTGGCGTAGAACTGATCGCCAGCATGCGCCACTGTTTTCGCCAGCTTCGCCGCCTCGCACTTGCAATACTTCGCCGGGCCCGTCGCATCAATCTCCACCTGGTAACCACCCTTCTTCGCCTTCTTATCCCCAAGGAATGCGCCAGCGACAGGCGAAACGCCGGTGGCGATGGCGAGGCTCACGGGACGATCGCCGTTCTGCTGGGAGAGCACGAGCGCGCCGCCGGAGACGACGGGGAAGCGCAGCGAGGGCAGACCGAGCGGACCGAGCAGATCGAAGTAAAAGTCGCAGGCGGGAAGAGCCTC